ATAACAATAAAAAATTAAAAAAAAAAAACACACTGAGCACATCCTCTGGGCTTTGGTTCAGGCTGTTTTCTCACTCGGTCCTCATTCACCTCTCCCACAAAGCCCCTGATCCTCCTGGTGGGTGGGGGTGCCTGTGATTCCCAAGGGTTACTGCTGTAGTGCAACTGACATGGGAGGCACTCAGTAGCTATTTACACTCAGTGGTTATCCGAGATATAAATTAATATAAACTAAGCCTATAACGAATATAGATTAAGTTAAATTTTTCATGAATATGCACTCACTCTACATCTGAGAGCCTGTAACCTATGATTTTACACTAATAGAAATAAGAGTGGACCCCTGTGACCTCTGAAATGTCATCTGAATGTGAGCTGTGCTGGTTTTAGGGACCCAGCTCTGCCTCAAAAACGGTGTAAGTGCTGTAGTGTTTGAAGAGCACAAACAAGTTCCTGATAGATTGTCCTGAATTCTGACAGCTAGTGCTCACTAAGAAAGCACCGAACAAGCTTGAAACACTAGGCAAAGTCACTCCTATCAACTCCTTAGGGAGCCCTCACAACTGAGAACTATACGCAAAAGTCACGCCCACAGGACACAAGGGTAGAGATGGTAGCAGAGACGGTGAACTCCGATCAGTTTCAAAACAGACTGGAAAGAGATTTGTGACTTTTAAGTTTATCCAGTGGACACTGGTGATCCATGTGCACAAGTCACCCCAAATATGTCATATTAACGGTTTGCTTCCTCAAGACACAAAAAATACCCCTCTGGTTTAAAAAGGTAATTTGTGGGGCGCCTGGGTGGCTCAGCCCATTAAACATCTGTCTTTGGCCCAAGTCATGATCTCAGAGTCCTGGGATCGAGCCGTGAGTGGAGCCCCACATTGGGGTCCCTGCTCAGTGGGGAGTCTGCTTCTCCCTCTCCCTCTGCCCCTCCCCCACTGCTCGTGCTCTCTTATTCTCTCTCTCTCAAGTAAATAAAATCTTTGAAAAAAAGGTAATTTGCAACTAATGAAAGGGACCCCACCTCTTACGAAAGGTCTTCATCCTTCATACCTGTTCTGCCGTAAACACAAAGCTGCGTTGCTTAACACAAGGACCATTAGGACCGAATGATGTGTCAGTACATTTCTGGGACAAGGTGACATTGTCATTGATGGTCTGCTGAAGGAAAGAAGCTAATTTTTTTTGAGCTTAAGCCTTTAGTAGTAACTTAATTAGGCCATCCTGTAAAATCATCACTAATAACTGTCAGAAGTACCCCTGAGTCACTAGAGGATGACAAAGCTTGGCAGAAAGCCTCTTCCATAGAGAAGAGGCATCTAAAGTTCACCCCGCCTCTCTCAGAAACGTCCTCAAAGGGCACCAACAACCCCCAAACCTCAGCCTGCCTGCTTCCCGACCCCACTGCAGGACTTTGCTTCCTGAATGCTTTACACAGACACGTGTAATAGATATACGTGATATATAGCTAATCAATATACACAAAAGAATAGCACTTTAAACAAACAACCCTTTACCCTAGCACAACTATTTTCACTTTTGCAAGATTACATGCTAGTTCTTGTCCACAGACCTTTTTCTTACATAGTGTCAATCTCCTCATATCCCAATTCTTTAACGTTATTCTGTTTTCCAAGTTTCTTTTTTTTTCAAATTCATTTATGAGAGAGAGAGAATATGCAGCAGGGAGGGGCAGAGAATCTCAAGCAGACTCAATGCTGAGCATGAAGCCCTACATAGGGCTCGATCCCACAACCCTGATATCACTACCTGAGCTGAAACCAAGAGTCGGACACTCAATCGACTGAGCCACCCAGGCACCCCTGTTTTCCAAGTTTCTACAATCTTTTACCTATTATTTGAGTGTTGCTAAGCTCCATGATCTTCTAACTTATACACTTATTTTGGGCATTTAGGGCAGAACCAGGTGCCTGAAGGATGAGTTACATCTTGTTGGTGTGTACTATTGGACAGACAAAGTGGGCTGACAGTACTTTGTCATTCTTTTTTTTTAAATTTAATTAATTAATTAATTTAGAGTGCACAAGCAAGGGGAGTGGCAAAGGGATAGAGAGAATCCCAAGCAGACTCCCCGCTGATCACAGAGCCCGATGCAGGGCTCCATCTCACGACCCTGAGATCATGACCTGAGCCGAAATCAAGAATCAGACGCTTAGCTGAGCCACCCAGGGGCCCCTGTCATTCTTGTTTTTTAATTTGAATTAGTTGACAAGAGAAAGGAATAGCCCTTAAAATTCAGATTTCTAATATTGAGATTTGGCAACTAGCAGCGGGAGTCCACCTTCAGAGATAGCATAAACTCTCCACTTTGCCACACTCCCCACCATCCCTATTGCATTCACCAAGCGGGCTTCACTCAGATCACTTCTGAGTCCTGTATGCAGTTGTCTGCAACCTTTGATTTAATATCTTGGCCTCCACAGATAAGGCTGCAGATGATGCCTTCAGGTCACGTTTTGCTTCTGTTGTATTATTTCCCTAGGGTATATTTCTGAAAGCAGGCTTACCAAGTGTATTTTTTTGCTCTTGCCATATTGTATTCTGTTTGGGATGTCTGTTGGGGCCACGGTCCTCTCTTGTGCAATAGCTGTCCCAGGCACCCTCCATGGGGACATTCAGCAAAAATGCTGCTGAGCTGGGCCAGTTGAATCCACTCTCCTAGGAATGTGCAAATTGGATTTAAAGATAACGTATTGGAGCTGATCTTCTTAAATTGAAGAAAGGCAAATTTTGGGCAGTGGAGTGTATGTCTGGTCCAATACATGTGGAAAAGAAAAGAAAGCCAGTTCTGCAAAGAGAAAAAAGAATGAGCTAAAATGGGCAGAGAGATATCAAGGCAAGGAAGTGTGGAGCCAGAGGGAGGGAGGCAGGCAACAGTGGTTTCTGTTGGCATGAACCCAACAGGTTGAGAGCCTCTTTCTGTTGTCTTGGTCCACGGCTGTGTCCCCCACCTGGCAGTGCCTGCGTGTTATAGGTGCTGAGATGTCTGCTGAAATGCATAGATAAATCTGAAGATGACCAGCTTTTGTCCCACAAGACCTGTAAGCATGTGATATTGCTCTGACATTGTCCCTGTCCTCGTCCAGGCACTGACAACCCCTTGCTGCCCATCCAGGTGTCTGTGCTGGACCATTCCTGCTCATCAGCAGCATGCCCATCCTCCCCCATCAGTGCACGGTCTCTTCTGTTAGCGCTCCACCTGCTTCCAGGCCATTCCTCAATTTCCTCTGGGAGATCCTTCAAATGTATGGCTGCCTGACTCTACCTGGGTCTCTGCTCATGTGTCCCCCTTCCCAGAGGCCTCCTGACTGCCTGTCTGACCACCTGCCTCGCTGCACCATCTCTTCAGTCTGCTTTATTCCTCATCATAGCAATAAATTATCATAGCAAATATTCATTTTGTTGTCTGTTGCCTCCAGTGAGAAAGTTCATGAGAGTAGAAACTTACTTCGTTCACCATTCTTTCCCCGAAACATGGTCCAACACATGGTTGGTGCCCCATTCGCTGATTCAACAGATATTTACTGAGTGCCTACTACTTACAATAATGACCTAAAATACGTAACCATGCTGGAAGGCTTAATGCAATGGGATAAGTTGAGAGAGGCAAGAGTATGAGTAATGCTGTGGATAGGTCTGTTGCAATTTTTAAGTAGCAGGGTCAGGGAAGGCCTCATGTAGGATGTAACATTCTAGCAAACACTCAAAGGAGGCGAGGAAGAGAGCCAGGCACACATCTGAGCAAAAACATTTCAGGTGGCGAGCAGCCATTGCAAAGGTCCTGAGGCAGGAATGTGTGCAGGAAGCAGTCAAGTTTAGCTGTAAGGGGAGAGCAGCACTGGAAGAAGTGAAACATGAAATCGGAGCCAAGGGGAATTTAAGAGAAAATCTTACCAGGTATCAGTTATGTAGAATAAAATGCACCCATGTTAAGTGTACAGTTTGATGAGTTTTGGTCCATGGATATATATAATCATGTAACCACTGCCTTGGTCAAGATATAGAACATTTTCATTACCCCCAAAAGTTCCTTACTCCCTGCACAGTCAACCCTCCACCTCCCGCTGAAGTGCGCTGCAAGTTCTAGAATGTCATTTAAATGGAATCATGCCACAGGTACTCTCCTCGGTCTGGCTTATTTCACTCCACACAAAATTTTTGAGATCCATCCTGTTGTGTTTATCAGCAGTTCCTTTGTACTGTTAAGTAGAATTCCATCCTACGATTCAGCACGGCTTATTTATCCATTCATCTGTGGATGGACCTCGGGTTGTTTGCAGTTTTCCACTGTTATGAATAAAGCTGCTACGAATGTTTGTGTACAAGTGATTCTTGGATCGATGTATTCGTTTCACTTGAGTAGGCGGAGACCTAGCAGAGGGATTTCTGGTTTGCACAGTTTAATGGATATTTAATTTTATGAGAAAGTTACAAACTGTTTTCCAGGGAGGTTGTGCTGTTTTGCATTCCCCCTGGGTGCTCTGCACCTTTGCCAACACCTGGGATCTTTGGTCTTTCTGATTGCAGCCACTGTACTGGGCTGTGTGGTAGCCCCTCACTGTGATTTTAATTTGCATTTCTCTGATGAGAACGATGTTGAGTATTTCTTCATGTCCTTATTAGAGACTTGTACACCTTCTCTTGTGGAATATGTGATCATTCCTTTCATTGGGTCGTGGGCTTACTGAGTATTTGTTCTTTATATGTATATATGTGTATATATGTATGTATATATGTATATATATCTTTCATCAGGCATATGTGTTGTGACTTTTCTCATAGCAGTGGCTGGTCTTTTCATTTTCTTACCAGTATCTCTCAGAGAGCAGATGTTTCTAATTCTGGCACAGCTGAATTTATCCATTTCTTGCTTATGTGGTTGATGTCTCAGCTAAGAAATGTCTGCCCACCTCAAGGTTATGAAGGGGTTCATGTTTTTTTCTTGTAATTCCGCAGTTTTAACTTTTCTTTCAGGTCCGTACAGGGTTCTCAGCAAGGACCTGACATGATCCGACTTGTGTGTCAGAGGCACTGCTGTGCTGTGTGGACGCTGGTGGGGTGGAGCGCAGACCTGCGGACACTCACGGGGAGGCCATGTGACCGTCCAGGTGGGGCCAGGCCGGCAGAGTGGGAGCGAAAAACAGCAGTCAGACTTGGGAAATACTCATCAGTGAGGTTTTCAGGCTTGTGTTCCATCCCTCCTTGATGAACAGTATTGAAATTTAAGACTTGCTCTGAGCCTGAAGGTTTGCTGTGCATTTTAACTTAGCTTCACTAAAGAACTGGTTTTAAGTTTTAATCCGCACATTGTTGTTCTTCGGGCATGGCAGTCCCCAGTACAACAGGACAATTCATCTATCACTCTTGAAAGATTGAGAAAAGGGAAACCAACACATTCCATGTCACGCCCTACATCACTCCTGCTAGGACTCATAAATCCATGTCTTTGCCTTGGCCACTTCAACTCATGTGTGACCCTTTCTTTGACTCATGATTTATTGCTCTCAGTTACTCCTTTGGCCAGATTTATAAATTTGAACTATTCTGTCTTTATATAATACCTACTTTGTACACTAGACAATGACAGCAAATTTATTGTCTATGAGTTGTTACCTTGAAAAATTACATCAATGCAAAGTGATTGCCTTTTAGCCTCCATAGCCAATAAATTTAATTTTTTGGAGGGGGTGATATGAGTCATAGGATCATATATATAATCACTGATCACAGAATGAGGAGCAAGTTGGAAGTTCTGAGCAACGGAAGCCAAGAAAGGAGACTCCTGTCTCTTGCCCAGCATGTATAAGCTGATCTCCTGGTGTTTGCTTTTCATAGGATGCTTACATCCTCTCCTCTCTCTGCCTGTCCCTGACTCCAGAGAAGAGACCCTGCAGCTCTCAGGTAAGATGAATTTGTTCCCCTTCTGTTAGTCTTGGAAGAGTCTTCAAGGGTTTTAAATGCAGAGTTAGAGATAAGAATGGGAATTCTTGTTTGCAGGAGTCTTGTTGAGTCCTAGCTATGGATAGAACACTAGAGGACCCTTATAGCACATTTTAGATTTTTTTTTCTTCCTAAAATGTAAGAGAAAAAAAAGGGTAGCTTTGCTTATTTCACGTCATTCCTGTAACCCAAACTCTTGTTTTGGTCAACTTTTTTTTTCAGTTTAAAAAATTGTACTACATTGTAAGCATAATTTACTTTTCATTTCTGTTTTAAATGAACTGGTCGGATGTAGAATTTGGTTGTTCCAGTTGTAGATGAAAACTATTTTATGTTATTTTAAGTTAAAAGTAATCATCTGACATGTGTTACATGAAACACAAATGTTTATTAAAGAATAAAAAAGGGACAATCTGGAGCTAGAGATGACATCGGTTTCCAGGTCAAGTATCTTATCCTTTTTGATTTATGTTTCATTCAGTTTAAGTGTAAATTGAATTAAAAAAAAATCAGTCAATACTTACTTGGCTATTTCCTCTTAATTTAGTTTAAGGAGTAAAACAACTGATGCATTTAACATTTTAACTGGATTTTATCTTGTCTTTAAATTGGGGTACTTTTAGACTTTTTTTTTTAAGGAAAAAACTCTTCTATACCATTGATTTTATCATCTCTAGCCTCTAAAGTTTCTCCCAAGAAGCTTTTTGATGATGGCCAAGCCCTGCTGGCCACTCACAGGTGCCCGTCCGTGGCTACAGCCCCAGACTTCCTGTCATGTTACTGGCCCAAAACAGGCATTAACCTTATTGAATCTCTGCTATTTAAAAAGAACAGTGAAAAGCAAGCACGGGATGAAATCAAGACTGACTCTATCACTGTCCTCTTCAAAAATGTACATATTATTATAATCTTTTTAAAACTCAGATGAGTGCAACATCTTACTCAAACCCTGAACAGGTGAGAGCCTCCCTTCAGGTTCTTGTCTCAGTTTTTCTAATTTAGTTGTTGCTACATAAATGAGCCTCTTGACACACACACTTACATGGGGCCGGATTTTACAGATTTTTCACGAACATTCTTCAGAAATATTGTGAATGTGCTCGGATGCCTTTGTAATGGTTTCAGTGCATCGTCTTCCAGTTGAGGTTGTAGCTCAGCATCTGTAAAGCTGTAAACATGCTGCTACTCTGGGACTCCCAGAGCCTCTGATCTCAGCGTGGCGGCAGCTGGTCAAGAGAGCTATCCTGGTGCCAAGTCTCCGCTTAGCATACCTTCCGTCTTCCATGCACGTCCCCCACACCTCCCATACGCATCCTACACACACTTGTCATACATCTTCTATTAAGCTGACCAAATCTCACATTAAAAATGTTACTATCAAAGTCTTTAAGGAGTATTTTCAAGGCTCTTTTCTAATGATTGTATTCAAATCGTGGAAGGCCAGAAAGATAAGGAGCGCTGCCATTTATTTGGTTTTATCAGAAGAACATAAACCGTCGTGACTCCCAGAAAACCACCCTTCATTTTTCCTCTCCAATTTTATCACTCAAATATCTACAAGTAAAAGGTAATAGGCAGTTGAGAGGCTTGACAAGGTCACACAAGGGTGTAGAGAGTCAGAATTAGACCCACTGCTCTTGATTTTCTGTCCTGCCGGCTTGCAAATCGGACTGTAGCATCCCCATCTCTCTGTTAAGATACCACTGACAAGTCACAAACATTGCCATTGGAGGCATCTCTAGCATTCTCTCCCTGCCCCAGAGCGCCCCCCAAGACAAGAGGGAACAGAAGCCATTGAAGGATGAACAGCGTTACTAACCTTTATTATTACTCTGTGTAGCACCTGATGGAGATGCAAGATCAGCCTTGGATGAACTGGAAAGAGTGTCCCTCCTGCAAATGCTGCTGGAGATGTCAGAGGCAGAGAGGGGTGATGGTCTTAGGGAAGCAGGTAAAATAATTCTTGCATGTATAGGTGGTCTGATTTTATTGCTACCGAATTACTCTCTATTCTCATTCACTAGATGGGGTAAAAACCTGTTTTGGAATAGAAAGATGACCGATAAAATAGGCTAATAAATTGCCCAACACTCTCCCCTTCTGGTGTAAAGACTCCTCTGCAATCTTGTGTTTTCTATTTCTCACCAACTCCTTGCAAGCATCATGCTCTCCTTGGTACCTCAGCATATATATATATATATATACTTTTTTTTTTCTGCACAGATTTATTTGGAGGGGAAGGAGGGTAATATCCTAGTTTCCAGTAAGTGCAATTTGAAATCCTGCTTTCCCCCTTGCTAAAATCTTAAGCAAACTACTTAAGCATCTGGTACCTCAGTTTCTTCATCGGTAGACAGGATTTGTACAAATACCCACCTCACAGGGCTGTTGGGAAAGCAACGAGAAAATGCAAGTAAACTGCTCGCCACAGTCACACACAGCCACCAATAAACTGTCAGCTTTTACTGTTTTCTCTGACTGTACTCTACACACAGATGAAAATGCTCAGGACATTCTGGAAATGAAATGGAGCCTTTTTCTTTTTTTTTCTGAGAAGGGGGTGGGGGCAGGGCAGAGGGAGGGGGAGGATCTCCAGCAGGCTCCACGCTGAGCGCAGAGCCCAACTCCAAGATCATGACCTAAGCCAAAATCAAGAGTCTGACGCTTAACTGGCTGAGCCTCCCAGGCGCCCCCAAATGGAGCCTTTTAATAGACATTGTTTAATAGAAGGAAGTTCATTCATTTAAAATGTTTCCAATAAACTACTGAACTGCTAACTTTTTGGGGAGAATGCAGTGCCCTTTGTGAACTCCCATCAGCAAGAAAGAACAAGGGTATCTGCCTAGTTGCCTTCAAGTAAATAATCGCTGCAGAGTGAAAACAGGAAGATCAGAGGGGCGCCTGGGTGGCTCAGTCAGTTAAGCGTCTCCTTTGGCTCACGTCATGATCCCAGGGTCCTAGGATCGAGACCCGCATGGGGCTCCTTGCTCCGCGGGGAGCCTGCTTCTCCCTCTCCCTGCCTCTCTGCCTACTTGTGCTCTGTCAAATAAATAAAATCTTAAAAACAAAACAAAACAGGAAGATCAGAAATTAGACATGACTTAATAATATTCCAAGAAAAACAAGCATAAACTGGAAATCACAGATCTGATGATGAATGGTTTCCAAATATTGTTTTCCAGATCTCAGTACTGACATTGCTAACCCTAGAGGAAGTCTGAGAAAGGTAAGTGACTCTATTTACGACGGTTAGGCGAAGCATTTTATACCTCGACTTTAGAAGATACAAAATGCTTGAACTGGGTAGTGTCCTGGGTAGAAATCATACTCTCAAGTAACTGGCCAATCAGTGTTATTTCAAAACATTCATTTTTCTAAATTCTGATTCATATGTGACCACAAGAACTTGTCCAGTGCCTGTTTTGGGTAAAAATTATTTTAACAAGTTTAAGGGAATGAACAACAGATAAGGTCCCTGCTCTCCAGTCTGTTACCCCTCTGCTAGCTCTTTCATCATCTCCACACGTGGCCCAGGGGCCAGCAGCCCTGATGTCACTTGGAAGCTCATGAGAAATGCAGAATCTCCTACTGAATCAAAATCAGCGTCCTAGCGGGAACCCCGGGTGACTCGCATAGGCATTCAAGTGTGGAAGTTGCGGGGTGTACCATCTAAGTGGAAGAATGCTGTGCTCAAACACAGAGGTCGAACGTGGGCGGTAGAGTGCAGGGCACAGGTGCTACTCTGGGTGTGCGGGAAAGACTGGGGTAGGGAATTGGTGAATGACAGATAACATGAGATGGTTAGAAGTGGCGTGCAATTCCTGGGGGGCCTCAGATGCTGAAAGAAAAGTCTGCATTTGACCATCACCAACACCCCCAAACTCTAAGTGCTTCCTGAAGGGTTTCTGGGTACACCAGTCCCACCAGCCAATCTACCGTGACTATTGTTCTTGCCTCTCCCACCCCGCTGATTCTGTGTGTACATCAGCACATCGAAACCTTCAGGAAATCCTGACGTAAACTTATTTAACATTAACCAAGAACTTCCCAAACATTCTGGCCAGAGACATCTTTTTCGGTGTAGTACCCACTAACATCCTTATAAAAATATACTGGACACACTCCATCCCAGAGATGGCAGACACCACCTGAGGTCCCAACTGGGCAAAACCACACTGCAAATATTCCAACAGGAAAAATACTTTCCCAAAAAATAAACTGTAAAACAAAAAAATGAAGGAGGAGGAGGAGAAGAAGCAGAAGAAAAAGAAACCTGAGAAACTAACCCACACATATATGGCCTTAACTTACGACACAGGAGCAGAAAAATTACACAATGGGGAAAGGACTGTCTCTTCAGTGAACAGTACTGGAAAACTGGACACTAAATGCCGAAGAATGTAACTGGATCACTTTCTTACAGCACACACAAAAATTTTAAATGGATGAATGACATGAATATAAGACCTGAATCCATAAACCTCCGAGAAGAAAACACAGGTAGTAAGTCTCTCGACTTACCACCAGAAGGGTGTGGTGTCTGCCTGTGACGAAGTAGAAGTCATCAATCACAGGTATATATTTTGAGTAGAAGGATTACAGTTAAAGACTCTAAAATCACAAAGGTGATTCATAGGATTTGCTCATGCAGTTCTGCAGTAGAAACAAAACTAAGGGTCCACACTTCAAGAGAAGTTCATTTCAGGGGAAATACAAGATCTGTTTCACACAGGAGATAATAAATGGACAGAACATGTTACTGATCGATTATTTAAATAGAGATGGGTCAGTGAGGGCTTGGGGAACTTCAGGGCAATCAGAGGACTGACAGAGTGGACCCCTGGCGGGGTGCAGGGAGCCCTTCCAGAGCCACCACACTCCGGGCTCCTACTGCAATTACACCCCACACGACAGAGCAGGCACTTTTCAGGGGTCCTAAGTCTTAACTACGGTTCCTCTTTCTTGTAGAGGTCTTAATTCATTGATAACCTATGATTTTTGTTTGTGGATTTGGTTTCAGGCTTTCTCTGGACAAGATCTTAACATTTTCCTGAGTCATCTTTTGGCCAGAAATAGGAAACAAGATAAGAAGCGTGGGTCTCCCTCTGAATGCTTCTGGAAATACTGTGTCTGAAGTGAAATGAACATCTACTAGTCAACTCAAAAACAGCCATCTTAGAAAGTTAAAAACAAAAATGCCTGGTTTGAAAATAGTATAGAAAAAAAACCTAAGCAAACCAGACTGTCCATTATTATTGGGAAAATAAATCCTCTATGTTTTGCAAATATCATGAGCGGTCATTTTACTTATAAATGTGTCCTGAAAATTTATAACTTTTCTTTCCATCAATTTATCCTTGAATTCTCTGAAAATTTAAAAGTAAAGCTGTAAGTGAACAGAAGCAAAAGTAAAATTTATTTAAAATAGCTCAACTACAAATTGCTTAAACATTATCTTACCTCCACGTCCTCTCAACCTTAAACATGACAACGTATGTTATTACTTAAAAAAAATCAGTGGGGCACCTGGGTGGCTCAGTCAGTTAAGCGTCTGCCTTCAGCTCAGGTCATGATCTCTGGGTCCTGGGATCGAGCTCCATGTCCCCGGGGCTCCCTGCTCAGCGGGGAGCCTGCTTCTCCCTCAGCCCCTCCTCCCCCCCCCCGCCCCACTCCTGTGCAAGGGCGGGTGTGCACTCTCTCTCGCAAATAAACAAAATCTTAGAAAAAAAAAAAAAGCAAAAGCTTTCACTTTCTGGATTTAAGATCTCAAGGACAAATCCATAGGGAAAGAGGTCTCAAACTCGAAGAATGGATGTGTCACCTCAGGGACCATGCTGGCATTAAGTAGCTCTGGTAACACTGTGGCATCTTGCGCCGTTGACACGAAGCTAACACTGGGTCTCCAACACACAACACTGGCACCACAGAACTATTTTATATTTATGATGCCAGAAAGAGCTTCCGTGGAATTCCACTGCGGGGTAACTGGGAGCCCTGGCCCGTGTTTCAGTGGTGTAGGCAATTACCCCTGTGGATGGGACTCTGGGGTCGGATTCGAACCTTCCAATCCCTGCTCCGGACACGGTGTGCTCTACGGAACTGGAAAGAATACTTCTGACACTGAATTCTTTGAGTTAGGCCTTACAATTAGTGTTAGAAATATGTACATTTGTTGAGGACCCAGCGCTGCTATGAGGGCTCAATGAGGTAATGGATTTGAAAACTCAGCAAGAGCTCAGACGCTGTGACAACGCCAACACACAGCGTTGCTGAGAAAACCAATGTTAATCTTGCCCCTTGCAATGCAACTTAATAAACATTTCAGGATGATAAAAAATACATATTCAGGGCAAAGGTTTATTGACACAATGCAAAAATATCTCAGGTTCTACATGTACACAGTTTGTTTTTACTTGAAAAAGATACCTGGTTGAAATATTAATAACCATTAAAAACAAGTAAATTAACACAATTAATTATAAATTCAGTTGAAATGAAATTTCAATTTAGATTAAATTTACCTTGTGAATTATAATGAAGTTTTACTTAATTGCAAAACAACTCCATTCACACAGCATTCCGTTTTTCATAAATCCTGACCTCTTACCCAAGAAAATGCAGCTTTTTGGGTAACATTTATGTAAACATGGAAGCCTATAACACATTTTTATTACCAATTTCTGTAGTTATTAATACAAAAAGTTAATAAACTTGAACAACAAAGTGTAAAAGTGGGTACAGCCCCCTCGGGGGGCAGCAGCTAAGCTCACTGCTGAGTCTCATTTCTCCCCTGCAGCAGTGCGAGCATCACGGTCCAATCCCTAAACACGCCAACTAATCTACTTGTCAACATGTGAAAGTTATAAAGGCAGATTACAGATCTGCCTACAAGCACCAGTTACATGTCAAGTCTGGCATAATATGCACTCCATAAAATGTGTACTAAGGCAAAAAGATCAGCAAATTCAGATAAAACCAATATCCAGAAAGAATGAAAAAGAGGTTCTTCCATGATTGGAGAATATAAGGTATAAAACGTGCTGCACGAAGCTGAGTGACCTCTGACAGCCACACATCATTTCTCATTTATACAAATTAAAATTTTTGTCCCTGCAGAAGGTCATGATGAGTACATTGATGGATAATACCTTGGCTGGTTAGTTTTTTAAAATTTGATTTTTCACCAAGGGCAAAAATACCACACAACCTAACCAATACAACGAGGGCTCCGAAATCACTCCGCGATCAGGATGGAGTAGAATATGAGAGCTCCCCAGTTGCATGGAACAGCTTAGCATTTGAAAATGGCTCCAACACACAGAATTGCCTTCCAGGAAAACCTACTTTAGAAAGGAAACCTGAGCTACAGGAACTAAGAATCAGGGCCTAGCAGTCACCATGGAATCATGGATAAAAAGGTTGAGTCTCCTAATTATTACCAGGATGCACTTTTATAAAAAAGTATAAAACTTGAAAGGAGGAAGAGTGTTTTCTTAAAACAGAAAACAAAACAACAACAAAAAAAGAAAAACCAGTCTATTATATAAAAGATAAAAGGTTACTGCTCCTTCACTTGCTTCTAGTCCTCTTTCTGATCTGTGTGGGTCATACTGAGTCTGGGCAGGAATCATGGACTTCTCTAAAGAACAGGGAGCTAACTTATCAAGCAAAAAACCCACTCACTTCCTAGAAGACACAACTATGGCTGGCATGGGAAGCACTGATCTCTGGCTGCTTCTGCACTCCAGCGAGGACAGCAGAGCTCCCTTGGGCCGCGGCTGTCCCCATGGACCGCTGCTGTCCCCACGCAGCCTGTCACGGCACTTACAGACCTCCAATAAGGATGGCCAGACTCTTGTGTGTAAATTGGTTGGGAAGAAAGAGTTAACTGTTAATTTTGGGTGAGACAACATTTAAACACCAATTATTTTTTCATGACTTCTGAAACTTTTTATAGTCATTATTTTAAAACCAAAAACATTAGAATGGGGAATACCACTGGTTGACTGAGGAGCTCTTTCTGTTTTAATGTCACACATGCAAAAGTTAACTTCAACTATCTGACGAATAAGTTCACAGTAAGTAGATTGTCAAGGCAGGACTTTGGGAATTTCAGTGGAAGGTGGAAAATTAAAAAGGAAAAGCATCCACATGAACAAAGCTCAAAATCCAACCCCAACGAGCAGATATGTCTGGTGCACCGATGGGTGGTATTTGTTACTACTGGTAAATATAGAAGCGACTCGTGTTGTGGGCAAATGAGAACGTTTCGTTTGAGTTACAGAAGGACCCGCCAAGCTGCCCAAGGACCAGATGAAAGTACTACATTTCTGGGAACCATTCTGAAAACTAGATGGCCTGCAGGTGGGATGTCAAGTGCTCTCACAGGGAAAATGACTTCTGTAACAACAGAACGAAATGAAGGAGGCCAAGGTTCGGGGCTCTTTCTGGCTATACTTCTGACTACCGTCGATTTCGGGTGCCACCTGTGCACACACCTCTCTAGAGGCCATCCGATCTCCTCAGAGGACAGCTACACTAGAAAACAACCTAACTGACAGCTGTAAGACTCCAGGAACATGGACATAAAGGACTGCATGTACGATGTCTGCTTCAGAGAAACGATGCCTATTAAAATATCAAGAAGGGAAAGTCTTAACATTCAGTGACAACTTCATGGTCACTTAGAGTCGGGGTTTAAAGAGACACATGAAGAGGTCTGGTTGTCCAGTGGGTTCCGGCGGGCACGCCTCCACGGCCACTCAACCACTGTTCGCTGCTGGAGCTTGACCACAGGGTTCTGCGGCGTCGCTGAGGGAGTCTTGGCTTTCGCAAGTGATGCAGCCCTCCAAGAAAGAACAAGAGCGGGCAGCATGACGTAATGTCATCTGGAAAGTTTAAAATCAGTAAAGTGCTGGCCAAGCACCTTATGTCTAGTTCCCAATTTATTCAATTCATGTCTAAGAAGAACCTATGTGACAGTTCATTCCTAATTGTTGTTAGAAGGAACATGACAATTATTTACACACTGTTGCTAACATTACTTTGGGGTTCACTCATTTACTCCTCTACTCAAAAACCACAAAAATAGTATTTTAAGAACAAAGACACTTGAAATGAGTAACGGGCTCAGCTCCTGCTTTTTGGCAATGCCACCTCTAACCAGGCTTAAGTTGCGGGAACGCATTCATTTCTTTAAAAAGGAGGGTGGGGAGGATATCTGCACCTGTTTACTTCAGAAGCTGTAACACCCCACTGTTCTGAACACCTAGCTTTCTTCTCTTGCTATAGTTTTTAACTTCACACACTGTCACCTCTCACATAAAAGCTTGACACTTGAGGGAATAAAGGGCTCATTCCTGGTACAAATGTCACAATCATTCCACAGAGCCGCCATGGGGACCACCGGCAAAATCAGAGCTCCACTGGCCAGGCCACTCACATGTGATCTCATTGAGAGGATCTTGTAACAGCCAAAGACCACCTGGGTCTCAGGGAAGATCCTGCTAGGTATGAATACCACATCTAGTGTGAACCCAACATCTTGAGTTTTAACTCCGTTCAAACACACTTGCATATCTGAAACGCAAATCTCCTATTCCTCTCCTCCCCTGTCAATCATACATCAGAACAGGTGCCCTGTAACATTCCAACCAGGAAACACACTTGCAGTCCAAAAGACCTGCATTCAAAATCAGAGGGACTGTGCAATCATATATAAATTATTTAATAACTGTACACGTTACTTTGTTGTTTGTTGGTGAGGTAGAAAGATCTGTGAGGGCTGTAATTTTCAGTGGTTTCACTGTAATGTGTATTAAGCGCCTTGGGCACTGTCTGGCACAAAAAAACGTCATATAGGACAGCTGTTGTCATCATGCTTACTTGGATGTCTATTCCTTGAGGGATCGTCTGGCTCTGAATCCAGGAGTGCACCTTGACCAGCTCCTCCCTCTGCCCGCGTGAGAACCAGGGCTGCCGCCCCCGCATGCCCGCCAGCTTCCCCAGGTCCTCTCTCAGGACAGCCTCTGTCACCCTGAGGACAAACGAGCAACCTTAGTCCTGAAGAAGGCACCAGGGTTCTGTCATCCAAGACAAGCATTTCTTGGCTTTGCGATATACTTTATATCTCTTGCTAATATATAATGTGCCCATTAAAAAAATAACTTGGTGAAGCTAGAGCACTTTTTCTTGGTGGAAAGCATCTGCACAGTGCTTGAATGAGGCAGACAGAAGAAACAGATTCCCCTGAGCTCCTCTCTTCTTGTAGAATGGGAAAAGTTCAGAATCTAGAGAGAAAAGTTCTGGTACTTGTGTGCCATCTTGGAAGCGCTGCCTTACTCTGCTTTCTGGTCTCAAGATGTACATGTTGGTTCAGTGTGGATTGGAGTGTGTGTGTGGCACCACCACCATGGCCACTGTCCTAGGATCTCTCATCATTTGACTTCAAATGAATGAATGTGAAAATCTAGTTCTCTAAGAGCATGTATAAAAAACATAATTTAAAAATCATTTTGCATTAAACAACAAACTTAAGAAATCATCAAAAAAACCCTCATAAAAGTGGGTCTTCTGAAGTGCTTTCTTACCTCTCAGGTACCTGATATGTCATTAGAATGCACTCAGGAGTTTGTTTTATCATTCTCCACATGGACTCTTCAGCTAAACTGGGAAATGTTTCCTTTTGTACATCCTGAGACTGCTGCCCGTTTGAGGTGATTTCAGAAGAATTATCAGTACTAGCGAAGTACATACTGCTGTCATTGCTTCCTATCAAAGATCAACAACAATTACAGGTTAGGAGATACCCCTTAGAGCCCGATTTGCCAAACTTATTCCTCAAAGACTCTGGCAACCAGCTGACAGTCTCTGTCACCACGCAGCCCAGCCACGGTCCTGGGTGACCTCACCTCCCAGTTCCTCCACCTTCCCTAGATCTCCCTCTCACTCCTCCTGAGCTGACCGCGCTCAAGGCCATACCTTGCTCCTTTTCATCACTTGCAACTGCTCCATGTCAGCTCCATCTCCCAAATCACTAACATCTTACTCCGCTTTACTTGCTAGTCTGCTTGTTCAAGTGCGCCAACTACAAATCTGAAACCGTGCCTCGGCCCTTCGGCTCAGAGCCCAGCACCCATCATTCAGTTAACATGCTTTGCAATACCTGAGATTTCTTTTTCCCTCTGACTTTTCACAACTATCCAAATGTCAATTCTCATAAAGCCAACTGTCAATTTTGTTCTTATGTAAACCCTAGTAGCCAAAGATATGGAGAAAAGTCATAAATAAGAGGGTACATTGGTTCATCATCACCAAAAGGATCATTCAAATGCTGGGTAACTCTGCTATGGTATCTGGCCAGCACACCAGCCTCTCCCAGCAAGGACTACTTTCTACACTTCTGCTCCCTCACTCTCATCTGTTAGAAATGCAATTCATTATCCTGACACTAAATGTAAGCTTACTCATATCTACACTCTCTCCTCACCTCCTCCTGTTACAACAGAGAAGCTATCCATCCATCCCACGGCCCATCCCTTTATGGCTGCTATGGAGCCTTGCAGATCATTCTTTTCCTATCTTGCATCTGACCTTTCTAGATCCTTTTCATCAACTTTGAAACAATAGAACAAACAAAAAACCCAAAGTACCTCTCTAATTTTTAAAAAAATTATATGGGCAGATATAAAAGATGTTTTTCCTCACTTAAAAAAAGAAAAACTCCCTAAAAGGTAATTATTTAAAGCAACAACAACAATTTTATTGTGGGGTTTATAATACATGTAGAAAGAATATTTTTTGTAAGCAAAAATAGCACAGAACATGAAGGGGAAATGGAAGCACTCTTTTAAGGTTCTTAGACATAAAGTGATATAAAACATATAAGGTCTGAAGGTTAACTGTGATAGATAAAAGATGAACTTGTAAATCCTAGAGCAATGACTAAAAAAAGAAAAAACAATGAGAGGTATAGCCGAGAAGCCGGCAATAGAAAGAAAATAAAATCATTAAAAACACATAATTATCAAAAAGGAAGAGGGGAGGAGAGAAAAAAAAAAGAAAGAGCAGATGAGACAAATATAAAACAAGTAGCAAGATGGAAGATTTGATTTACACTTGACCATATAAATAATCACATTAAATGTAAATGGTCTAAGTATTCTAATTAAAAGGCAGACACTGTGATATGAGTAAAAAAAAAAAAACCAACACCCGGGCGCCTGAGTGGCTCAGTTGGTTGGGCGACTGCCTTCGGCTCAGGTCATGATCCTGGAGTCCTGGGATCGAGTCCCACATCGGGCTCCCTGCTCGGCGGGGGGTCTGCTTCTCCCTCTGACCCTACCCCCTCTTGGGCTCTCTCTCTCTCTCTCAAATAAATAAATAAATAAATAACTTTTAAATAAAAAAAAAACCCAACACCCAACCATATGCTGGTTATCAGAAAACAACTTTAAATATAGAGATAAGTTAAAAGTAAAAAAAAAAGGAAAAAATATGCCAGATAAACACTAATCAAAATAAAGCTGGAGTGGATACACTGATACTTAAGTAGATGTAAAGCAAAGTACATTCCATTACAAAGAGATCAATTAATCAAAAGGGCCTAACAATCTCGAATGTGTATGCACCTCATAAAAGAGCATCAAACTATGTGAAGCAAAAACTGAAATGTAAGATATAGGCTAATTCACCACTATTGTTGGATATTTTAACATCTGTCTCAGTAACTGATAAAACAGAAAATTGGTTCGAATGTAGAAGACTAGACCAACATTTTTAGTCAACTTGATGTGATTTACATTTACATAAGAGCAGAGCGCACAGACTTTTCAACTGCACATGAAACTTGTATCAAAATAGACCAAATTCTGGACCATTAAATAAGTCTCAGTAAATTTTTAAAAATACAATGTTTTCTGACTCTAATTAAGTCAGAAACCAATAAAATATCTGGAAAAGTCCCCAAATATTACAAAATTAAAAACATTTTTATAACCCATGGCCAAAAAAAGAAAACACAAAGGAAATTATAAGATAGTTTGGACTGAATGAAAATACATCAAAATTTGAGGAATGTAGTGAAGTAGTGCTTAGAGGGAAATTAAAAGCATCAATTGTATATATTTAGGAAGGAAAAAACAGTCCCGAAGCAATGCTCTGAGGTTAAGAAATCAGAAAAAGAACACATAAAATCCAAAGTAAACAGAGGAAAATAATAAAGATTAGAGCAGAAATTGATAAGATGCAGAACCAGAAAACAATAGGAAAAAAAAAAACCCCAATGAAACCAAAAGTTGCTTCTTTGAAAAGTAATAAAATTGGCAACCATACAGCCAGAATGATCAGAAGAAAATTAATATCAGTAATAAGAGAGAAGACATTACTATAGATTCTACAGATCTTAAAAGGATAAGGGAACATTATAAATAATTTTATGCCAATAAATTCAACAACTTAGATGAAATGGACAAACTCCTTGAAAGATACAAATCACAAAGATCACTCAAAAAGAAAGAGATGAACTGAGTAATCCATATCTACAAAAGAAATTAAATTTGTTGTCATAAACCTTCTCCTAAGGAAACTTCAGGCCTAGAGAGCTACACTGGTGACTTCTACCAAACATTTAAGAAAGACATAATATCATTTCAATATAAACTCTTCCAGAAAACAGAAGATTAGGGAACAGTTCCCAACTTATTTTTTAGGCCAGCATTACCCTGGTACCAAAACCAGACAAAGATATTACAAGAAAAGAAAACAAAGGGCCAATATTTCCTTTAATAGTGTGATAATCCTTAACAAAATCTGAGGGAAGAGAATCCAGCAATATATAAAAAGGATAAAATAGCATGGCCAAATACAAGATTTGTTTAATACTTGAAAAGTAGTGCAATTCACTATATTAACAGAATAAGGGAGAAGAACTATATGATTACCTCAACAGATGCAGAAAAATCATCTCAGCAAATTAGTAATAGAAAAGAATTCCTCAATTGTACTGATAAAAGGCATTTAAGAAAGACCTACATTTAACATCATCCTTAATGGTAAAATTCGCCTGCTTTCCCCCTAAGACTGCTAATAAGACAAGAGTATCAGTCTTACCACTTTCATTCAACATTAGGGGTCCTAACCAGTCCAATAAGGCAAGACAAATAAGTAAAGACATACAGATCAAAAAAGAAGAAGTAAACTATATTTGCAAACAAGACTGTCTATATAGAAAAGAGCTACTAAAGAGCTACTAAAACTAATAAAAGAGTTTAGAAAGATGGCAAAATACAAGTTCAAAATAAAAATTCAATTAGATTTCTATATGCCAACAACACATACTTGGAAATTGAAATTTTACAACGCCATTTACCATAGTATAAAAAATGAAATCCTTAGGGATAAATTTAGCAAAATATGTGTAAGATTTGTGCACTGAAAAGTACAAAATGCTGCTGAGAAAAATTAAAGACCTACATAAATAGAGAAATACATCATGCGTGTGTACAGAAGACTCAATACTGATAATTCTCTATTGGTTTGATTCAACCCCATGTCAATAAAAATCCCAGGAGGCCTTTTTGTAGAAACTAAGAAACTGATTCTACCATTTATATGGACAAAGGACCTATACTATTCAAAATTATTTTGAAAATAAGAATAGAGTTGGAAGAATTACCTCATCAGATTTCAAAACTTATCTGAAAGCTATATTACTCGAAAAAATATGGTATTACCCAAAAGCTAACCATAAAGATAAACAGAACAGAAAAGAGAGTCTACAAACAGACCCAACATATACAGCCAATTTATTTTCAACAAAGGTGCCAAGGTAATCCAATGGGGAAAAGATTAATCTTTTTGACAAATGGGACAGGAACTGGAGATCCATACACAAAGAAGGTATCAACCCTTACCTCACACCACATATAAAAATTAACTAAAAATGGATCACAGACCTAGCCACGAAAGATTGTTAAAAAAGGGGTGCCTGGATGGCTCAGTTGATTGAGATCAGACTCAGTTTTGGCTCAGGTCATGATCTCAGGGTTGTGGGATCAAGCCCCACATTGGGCTCCACGCTCAGCACAAAGTCTGCTTGTCCCTCTCCCTCTGCTCCTCCCCTTGCTCGTGCTCTCTTAAATAAATAAATAAAATCTTAAAAAAAAAAAAGATTGTTAAAAAAGACACAATAGGGACACCTGGGTGGCTCAATCAGTTAAGTGTCTGACTTTTGACTTTGGCTCAGGGTTGTGAGATTGAGCCCCATGCTTGGGACTCTCTCTCTTCCTCTTCCTGTGCCCCATACCCACCCATTTGTGCATGTACACACTCTCTCACACACACACAAAAAGACACCACAAGCCCCATATGGAGTCACCTGTGCTTGGTCCATGTCAGCAAACCAAGACTTAATACCTAACCTAACTGCAGTTTCATTTTCCCAGGAATGTAACTTTTAACCAGTCAACATGGAATTACCTGGTCAGGACTAATGAGATAATCTACCTGATAAACCCCTTCCATTTCCCTTAGGACTGTGACCTTGTCTGAAATGATGTATTCTTTAGTAGTAACTTCCTTTTCCTGCCCCCTTTCTGCCAAACAAAACAAAACAAAAACCCCCCAAAAAGAAAAACAAACCATTCCATTTTGTACAGCTCTTCAGAACTCCTTTCTGTTGCTAGATGGGATGCTGCTCAATTCATGAATCATTGAACAAAGCCAATTTGATCTTTACATTTACTCAGTTAAATGTTTTTTTGAAAAG